CAACTGTGTTAAATAAAACAAAATACACAAGTAAAATTTTGGCCAGGATTCACACCACCAGAGCTCTGTCATTTAAATAGATTTCCCCTACACAAAAATAAACAGTAAAAATGATATTATAAACTGTGAGATGGGATTTATTATAAAAACAACTACTAAAGACATGTTCTGGGATAAATACACAATTCAACTAATCAATCACGAATTCTCCTTACAGAGGTTCAATGAGAATGGATATACAAAACAATGACTCTGAAACAGGGAATCAAAAATTCCACTATGTTTAAACTCTATTTATATTAACATACTGCGATATTTCAAAAAGATTAAGAGTTCATATCTAGAAGGTGCTTCCTAAGCATTCTGCTTATAGCCGTTTTAGCATATTAAGAGATATTACCTCTGTGTTAGTATAGTAAGTGTTCCAGGAAGAACGAAGAGATTCTTGGCCACCAATATCCCACATTAGAAAACGTGTATTATTAATCACTATCTCTTCTACATTACTTCCTATTGTTGGGGAGGTATGTACAACTTCATTCATAGAACTGAAAAAAAAAAAAAAAAAAGAGTTCAAATATATTAGCTAGTTAGCAAGGAAGTTATATTGTTTGAATATTTTCCAGTTAAGGGATAAATCAGCATGACTTCCTTTTATATTTTATAATCAAATGTCCCTTTTCCAGTAGTTCATAAGAGTGAGCTAAGGGTTTAAACAGAGATGGAACTAGGTAGTGGACTATCTGGAATACTCTAGATTCATTCCAGCAAACTATATAAACAAATATTTTTCCACTTTCTACAAGCAAGACAACTGAACATGCTAAATGCCATATAAATTCCTATCTCTCTAGAAATAGTGGTTTAAGTTTAGCTCCTGTTTTAAGGTCAACCTGACTCTTACAGAATAACTTAGATTCCATGCAATTTTTTAATGCTTTCACTAATCAAATATCATCCAGGCAGAAAAAATAACTATAAACAATTACATTTTTTGAGCAGTTAATACTTACAATTGGTAAAGGATAGTAGTTTTCCCTGCATTATCCAGCCCAACAATGATAACTTTGTGCTCTGGGGGGAAAAAAAAAAGTAACATATTAATTAAAAACAAAATTTTAAAATTTCCTATTTCACCCATTCTTTCCAGCTGTGGTATAATTTAGTGCATGGCACTTTACATTTTCTTAGAACTCAAAACAAAAAAACATTCTAGCAAGACCAGCAGAAGTGTGTCTTTAGTCTTACCTTCCCTACCCACTTCTGTGGAGCAGTCTGAGATCTCTTTGGAGGGCATTCCAATGAGGAATCCATGATCCAGAGCAACTTCACCTCTTCATCCCGCCCGAACATCTAAAAGCCACATTCATTACCAACTTCTATCCACTCCCTCCCAAGACTTGTTTATTTGAGTCTTCATGTGTTTACAATAAAGCACCAATGACTATTTTTAACAGCTTCTTAAGTCTAAGGTATAGCATGTGGGTCACAGTGAGAACTATAAAAATTGACATAATTGTGTAATAGGCTCAAAGATAAAGGTGCCAATTCAGTGGTGAAAAGCCAGTTTATTCTCAAAAACAGAATTAGATTATTCACTTTCATATAGGCATATCTCAAAGATATTGCAGGTTTGGTTCCAGACCACCACAATAAAGTGAATGTTTTAATAAAGTGAGTCACAATTTTTTTGTTTCCTAGCGCATATAAAAGTTATATTTACACTATGCTATAGTCTATTAAGTATGCAATAACATTTTATCTAAAAAAACTACATACGTCAATTAAAAAATACTTATTGCTAAAAAATGCTAATCATTATCTGAGCCTTCAGCAAGTGGTCATCTTTTTGCTGATCAAGTGGTCCCACCTTGATTTTGATGGCTTCTGACTGATCAGGGTGGTGACTGCTGAAGGTGATGGCTGTGGCAATTTCTTAAAGTGACAATGAAGTCTGCCACATCAACTGACTCTTCTTTTCATGAACAATTTCTTTGTAGTATATGATGCTGTTTGATAGCATTTTACCAACAGAACTTCTTTCAAAATCGAAGTCAATCCTATCAAACCCTGCTGCTGCTTTATCAACTAAGTTTATGTAATATTCTAAGTCCTTTGCTGTTATTTCAACAATCTTCACAGCATCTTTACCAGGAGTAAATTCCATCTCAAGAAACTATGTTCTTTGCTCATCCATAAAAAGGAAATCCTCATCCATTAAAGTTTCATCATGAGGCTGCAACAATTCAGTCACGTGTTCAAGCTCCACTTCTAATTCTAATTCTCTTACTATTTCCACACCTGCAATTACTTCCTCCACTAAAATCCTGAACTCCTCAAAGTCATCCATGAAGTTTGGAATCAACATCTTCCAGACTCTACTAATGTTGATATTTTGACCACTTCCCGTGAACCATGAATGTTCTTAATGGTGCCTAGAATGATGAATCCTTTATAGAAAGTTTTCAATTGACTTTACCCAGATCCATCAGAAAACTTACCATCTCTGGCAGCTATAACCTTACAAAATATATTCCTTAAATAAGACTTGAAAGTCAAAACCACTCCTTGATTTACGGGTTGCAGAACAGAATTTGTGTTAGCAGGCATGAAAACACCATGAATCTTACTGTACATCTCCATAAAGCTCATGGGTGACCAGGTGCACTGTCAATGAGCAGTAATATTTTGAAAGGAATCTTTTTTTCTGAGCAGTTCTCAACAGTGGGCTTAAAATAGTCAGTAAACCACGCTGTTCAAAGAAAACAGGCAGAGCAGATTTAGCACAGTTCTTAAAGGGCTCTAGGATTTTCAGAATGGTAAATAAGCATAGGCTTCAATTGAAAGTTACTAGTGGCATTAGTCCCTAACAAGAGTCAGCCTGTCCTTTGAAGCTTTAAAGCCAGGCATTGATTTCTCCTCTGTAGCTATGAAAGTCCCAAATGGTATTTTCTTCCAATATAAGGCCACTTTGTCTACATTGAAAACCTGTTGTTTAATGTAGCATCATTTATTCTCTAACCCAGATCTTCTGGATAACTTGATACAACTTTGACAATAACAGTTGCTGCTTCACCTTGAACTCATGTTATGGAACCAGCTTCTTTCCTTAAACCTCATGAACTAACCTTGTCTAGCTTCAAACTTTTAACAGTTTCCTCATCTCTCTCAGCCTTCAAAGAATTCAAGGGAGTTAGGGTTTTGCTCGGGATTAGGCTTTGGCTTAAGAAATTTTGTGGCTGGTTTGAAAATCTAATCACACCACTAAAACCTTCTCTTTAGCAATAAGACTGTTTCGCTTTCTTATCATTCATATGTTCACCAGAATAGCATTTTTAATTTCCTTTAATAACTTTTCCTTTGCATTCACAATATGGCTAATTGTTTGGTGCGAGAGGCCTACCTAGCTTTCAGCCTATCTTGGCTTTCTACATGTCTTCCTCACTAAGCTTAATCATTTCTAGCTTTTGATTTAAACTGAGAGACATGTGACTCTTCACTTGAACAGTTAAGAGAACATTGTAGGGTTATTAATTGGCCAAATTTCAATATTGTTGTGTCTCAGGGAATAGGGAGACTTGAGGAGAGGAAGTGAGATGGGGAACAGCCAGTTGGTGGAGCAGTGAGAACACACACAACATTTATTAAGTTCACTGTCCTATATGAGCATTGTTCATGGCACACCAAAACAATTAAAATAGTAACATCAAAGATCACTGAACACAGATCACCATAACAAATATAATGATAATGAAAAAATCTGAAATAATGAGAAAATTACTAAAATATAATACAAGAGACACGAAGTGAGCAAATAGTGTTGGAAAAATGGCACCAACAGACTTGCTTGATGTAGGGTTGATACAGTCCTTCAATTTGTAAAAACATGGTATCTGCTAAGCGTAATAAAATGAGGTATGCTTATACTGAATAAACTTCCTTTGACCATCCTTGAGCTTTTTCACCATCCCAGCCTATTCCTCAGATTGCCAACATGGAAAATCATTCTATGTAAAACATAAATTTGTAGCCAAAAAGTATTAAAATGCACTTCAAAACGAATACTCCTTAGGGCCTCAAATATAACATCTATACTAAGAGCTAATGTTGTTATGGACAAACGTAATAAAATTTGTGGCTATTCCAATTCTTTGATGTATGTGGTTCATTACATGTTTACTGCTTAGTATGATTTTTCTTTTAGAATATCTATGCCACAGCATTCTTGCAGTTACTCAGAAAAGCCGAAACAACTATACACTATTATAATACTTGGATGGAATTCTGAGTTATCATTTAGGCTTTAGTTTTCTAATCAGTACTTTCACTGTTTTGTCATGAAAATGCTTCTAGTTTCTCTTCTTCATTTCCTTTTGATAAACCCCAGCAACCTACCAGTTCCATTTATTGCCAGTTTCTAGGAGTCAGTATATATCCTTCCACCTGCCAGCCAATAAATTAAGCAAAAAAAAGTTGTCATTGTCATCCTGGAGGCCTTCTATCTCTGGGAATCATACCAATGTCAGAAAACACAAATACTAAGGCAGATAAATTGAGTCATTCTGATTCTTTATTGTCACCTCATATCCAACCTATCACTGAGCCCTATCAATTTTCTATCTCATATACAGCAAAAAATCCATTTGTCACGTTCACTATAGTTCTCTCAGGCCATAGCACAGAACCTATAATAAAGCATGAGCTTAATAAAGTATGAATAAATAAATAAATCTAGAAGATATAAAGATTAAAGGGGAGACAATTGATGAAGTCGCTGTGTATAAAAATTCCATTTTCAAAATCAAAAAGTATTATCAATAAAAAAAGCAAAGTTTGAAAATAAACTTTCAACTTATAGCAATGGTAGTGAAGTTTCAGGGAAAAAAAAACATTTCTTTTGCATTAAGAGGTTGCTGAATAAAAAACAATGATTACACATGGCAAAAGTAGAAATCCAATCAGGAAACAGAAACTAAACAGAAATTAAAAATAAACGTATGAAGCTTAATATAAAGAAAATAACTATTACATAGGATTGGAGTAATGAGGGATTAGTGAATATTTCTTAGGATTATAGAAATGACAAATATATAGAGTATTAACTACCCCTCGGGCTGACAGAGCTTACTCCAATTCTCCAGGACGGAGCTGCAGACTTTGCTGGAGGGCTGGGCCATAGTTCACTAACTGTCAGAGAGGTAGCTGTGTGAACTTGCCAGTGGATC